TTGTATTAAGCTGTTATGCAGTCAGACATTTAAGATTTTTAAATGTAATGGTACAAATTTGTGCAATTACAGCAGTGAAATATGAGAGATTTACTAAACTGAAAATAAGTAATTGAGTTTAAATTTAAATAATATTAATGCTCTACATTAATAGTTTTTACGTTTTGTGAAAGCTTATATAATAAAATTACTTATAAGAAAAGAAATTAAAAATGCAAAAAACAAATTTCCTAATTATAAATTTGTAATAATTGCTATCATATCTGTTAAAAATTTTTATTACATATTAAAATGACTATTACATTTGAGTCTAAGATATCTTAAAGATATCAAATTTCTAATTATAAATTTGTAATAATTGCTATCATATCTGTTAAAAATTTCTATTACATATTAAAATGACTATTACATTTGAGTCTAAGATATTATCTTGAAATGTTTAATTTTGAAAAGTTGTATACAATTCTACCATTTTACTAAAAATATATCGTAATATCGTAATTACTTTTTATTACTAACATAGCAGTATTATTTAGAAGACTAAATAAAAAGAAACCGATACATCAGAAATACGTAAAAATGCATTTTGTGCTATTGTCGTTATTATGTAACATGTATTGAAAATTCTCTGTACGTTCTCCCGATTTTTTTATTGCCGATTCCTTGATTTCAGTTACACAGGTATGTAAATTATATTATATGTTTCTATTGATCGATCGGTTTATATTATATTTCACAAGAATAAAATCGATATATGTAAATATCCATACTAACTACTTTTCGAATTTTATCTTGCGGTCCTAAAATTGTTATTTCCTTTTTTAAAATCTTATCATCCAATCTTGTATTTATTACACTATTTGGATATTTCCTACCCTTATAATTTTTCTCACCACTCTATTTGTTAATTCTTCCTTCTTGTGCTTTTTGTATGATCAATTTTTACATTTGTCTGTCACAGTGACTCTTTTTCCGGCAGACGATAAAGGAGGATGTTAAATATAGGTCCATTTTGGCCCATGGTGTGGAACCAAAACTACACATGGTTTCTTATAGATTTCATACCGTAGAATTACGTGGTAAAGTTTGTTTTTCTCTAGACACCGGGGAAAGTACGGAAAAATTGAAAAAAGACCATGAAAAATGGAATTTTCCGAGTTGGTTGAAGCTTGGAACATTCCTGCAGCGATTTTAAAAAAATGATTTGTCGCTCTTGTCCTTTTGCAGGGAGGAAGTTCTGAGGCCCTCACATGACATACAAAAAAGACCGATCCGACACATGCGTCGGAAGACACCTTTATACCCGAAAAACCACCCTCAAAATCACTTAAACGATTCTCGCCAAGCTAGAAATGATTTGTTGCTCTTCTCCTTTTGCATAGAGGAAATTTTGAGGCCCTCACATGACATACAAAAAAAGACCAATTCGATACATGTGTCGGAAGACACCCTTATACTCAAAAAACCACCCCAGAGTGCCTAAAAAATTCTCGCCTAGCAAAAAATAATTTGTCGTTTTTTTCCTTCTGCACTGAGAAAGTTTCGAGGCCCTCACACAACATGCAAAAAAGACCGATTCGATATATGCGTCGGAACATACCCTTAGCTTGGCGAGAATCGTTTAAGTGATTTTGGGGTGGTTTTTCGGGTATAAGGGTGTCTTCCGACGCATGTATTGGATCGATCTTTTTTGTATGTCATGTGAGAGCCTCAGAACTTCCTCCCTGCAAAAGGACAAGAGCGACAAATCATTTTTTTTAAATTGCTGCAGGAATGTTTCAAGCTTCAACCAGCTCGGGAAATTCCATTTTTCATGGTCTTTTTTCAATTTTTCCGTACTTTCCCCGCTGTTTAGAAAAAAATAAACTTTACCACGTGATTCTACGGTATGAAATCTATAAGAAACCATGTGTAGTTTTGGTTTCACACCATTCGACCAAAATCGACCTATATTTAATATCCTCCTTTGACAGCATATGACAATGCATTTTATAATTCTCGAACTATGATTTTGGCAAGTTTTAGGTATACATTTTATTTCTTATTTAAACTCTTTTAGTCTAAATTTTTTATATCATGTAGCGTTTTTTACTTCCAGTTCAATTTTATTTCTTGACCTCAATTACATAATTTTATGTACATTTAGCTTTGATCATATGGCATCTCTGCATGCATTTAAACATTGTACTAAAGATGATCAAATCTTTGATCAAAATGTCTAATTAATTGAATCAATTTCAAAATTTTTATGTGATTTATGGTAGCTGAAAGAATAGTAGGAAGTGGTGAATATTTCTCGAGATATATCGCTTAACATAACGTCCCAATTTAGGAATTCAGATATTAATTTACGCTTGATGTGAATAATTTATTAAATTATATAGTAAAAATATTTTTAAATATATCGATACGTATAGAGTAAATAAATGTTTTATTTTAAAATTGGTCATTTTTTCTGTTTTTAATAATTGCTTAAATTATGATATCAATATAATATAATAAAAACAACGCTTGTAATATGATATCATTATGATAGAATCAACTTTTAATTCATGTATGACAGCTTTGCTTTTAAACCGTCCATATAAACAATTCAACGTAAATATAAATATATTACCTCTCCCATTACTTCTGATATTTAAAATTTTTTGACGTAAGCATACAAACATTGAAAATATTTTATTTTATATTATTTTATTTTTGACAAAAATTATTTTCTTGCAAGTTACATCTCCGACTCAGCCCAGATATATTTTGTATTTCGGAGCCAATTCTGTTCTCATCATCGACTATAAGGCACTTCTAGTTGTAAAGCAACTTTCTATAACTTCTTTATTGAAAATCAAAAAAGACAAATATCTGGTCCAACAAAAATTTGCAGTGTAAGAAGGAATAATTAAATTAAATAGATATTATTTAAACCGACGCACACCGATGAGTCCTAAGTTTCCGACTTTTCTTACGTACTCGACTCTTCGATTTTAATTTTTTTTTGTAACAGCATCAACTAATCGCTCTTCTCTCAAATTAACTTTCGCAAATTCAAGCACCTAGGACAAATTATTTTGACAATATCAATAAACGTAAAATTTTTGCGCAGTACAGTTTATGAGTGCATTAATTACTGCGTTAAAAGTAATCGGATCGGATATGTCATGTACAAAAAAATCATAAAAATAAGCTCAATATTAAGTAATAAAGAAATGAGTGTTATTTAAGTCTGAAAAATATACCTTAGTCAATTGTTCTACAGCATGTTGGTGGGTAATAATAACAATTAATGTGGCAATTATGTCGGCTTGCCTGCGAAAAAGTAAAGTGATAAATATTATTATTTAAGCCGGCAATAAAAATAAAAAAGACGCGGATGGATAAAAATTATAAATATTAAAATATATATACATATATATATATATATATATATAATATATATATATTTTGTATATACATATAAATAAATATAGATATATATTATAAAAAAAATTATTATTACGTGTTAGAGGTGAACATAAGTATATTTTTATTGAGATTTTGCAATATAAAATTGCAAACAGTATCGTTGCTTGCATGTCTCGCAACGGTAAGAAGAAATATGTGAGCACGTGTATTGTTGCGTTGTAATAAATCATTATCATCCGAAATCACCTGTATATAATTAGAAACAACTAAAGGATCTTCACTGCAAGTTAAATATTCTAAAATTTTTGTATCATCAAGTGTTTCTGTCCATTTGTACCATACAGCGTACCAAATGGACTTTTCCGCTGACACCAAACCATTACAATACATCCATCGTTTCCATTCCGATTGCGTTACAAAGCTGCGTTACCAGAAAAAAATATTTTTTGCAAAAATTTACCTCACTTTATGATAAAATAATTTATCTAGTACAGTATTTGATGTATAAAATATAAGTATACATAATGCAACAAAAATTGTTTATGTGAATACTATGATTAAATAATGTAAATCATTTATTCTTACGTCGCACTTTCAAAATATAGATCTCTTGTCATTTGCTCATTGGCTACTTCTCTACATTTTTTGTTACCAATAATACATGCCCATTTTACGGCTTCCTCTCTTAAACATTTCTTGAACTTGTTTTCATGTAGTTTTGACACGTATCCTATTTGATTCAGAACTCCACTCAATATTTTTTCCATCTTTTCCTTAAAATTGGTAAGTAATATAAATTTTAACCTATTGCTATTTATAAAAGATATGTATGTATATTTATATATGTACACATATATTATAACTTGTTTTTTATACAAAATAATTTAAAACAACCTGTTGTTCTTGAAATATCATATTCTTAAACGATTTTTGAAATCGCTTTTCTTCTTGCGAAATTTTGTCCAAAACTTAGTTTTTGAGTTATAATTGAAAAGTTGATAGTTCGCTACTTACACTCACACACACTATGACTGCAAGGTATTACGTTACTTTTTTGATAAGTTGCACAATCCCTGCCTGCCCGCTGTGTACGAGTAGATACCTATTTTCAATTATATATATCTCGAAAACTAACTTATAAACAAACATTTGCTAAAGGAATAATTATCTTAAAAATCGCTCAATATGACATTTTATGGACATTGTTTTGTATCACTCTGTGTACATAATGTTTTGATGCCATGTTTCTCATAGAATCTTCCTGTTACCTACCTTTAGGGGATCAGTATTTTTAATTGAAACTATAACACTCATATGTTCAAAAGCTTTAAACATAGGATACCATGCTACATAATTCATTTCTCGTGATAAAAATGCAGATATTTCCCAAAACGTAATGTAATCTAGTTGTCTATGTGTAAGGAAGTAAAACGCATCATCTATGATTTGAGCCCGATTCAGAACATGAATGTCGACATAATTCACAGAATTCATGTATTGCGCAAGATTAAGCCAATTTTCAGTATTATAATTAACACGATAATACCCTGTTATAAAAAGAAAGTTTTCATCATTAATGTTTCTTGATAGAATTGATAAAAAAATAGTTTTTAAATAATTTTTATTGTTTTTTGTGAGAAACATTTTCTCAAATTATTTATTTTTTAATAAAATATTTTACAATTGGTTTAAAAAAAGTGTAGAAATGATTATCGTGTGAGAATGTTTGTTGCAAGCATGAATGACACGCACTCTTGCCAGTATGCGACTGCGTGTGTCAGAAGCATCAGGGTGTAAGATTAAAAAAGCAAAAAAGATAAAATATAATAAATTAAATGATTTATATTTACCTGTTTGTTGTAAATTGACTATAATCCAATCATTTTTATCAAACTCTTGCTCTAATTTTTTCGATTTTTGCGGTGATAGCCAGAAGGATTTATTGGTAAAAATATCGTGAAAGTTTATTTCTGATTTTGTCGTGTACGTCACGAATGCTGAAAGATGTTCTGCATCCTCGTCAAAATCGAGAGTGAGATATCGGAATATTATATTATTAGACAAATGATTTCGTGTTACGTACAGTACAGGATATTTTTCCGCTATCCAAACAGATATAAGTCTTTTTACAATAAATGCGGTTGAGTTATTTGGTATAATAGTTTGCACTATGTTCCATAAATCATTTGTTTGATTATATCTATAAAATGGAAAATTTTTATAAAAGCATACATTGTGCAAATTTTTAGCAAAAATTTTTTATTTATATACTCAAAATTATTATTTAGTATATTAAAATATGAACACTTTCGCGGTCGCTTACATATTTTTACGTTCATGCTTTGGTATAAGTCAGGTGCCGGTCACGTAATTTTACGTTTACTGTTTTTTGCATCATGGTATTAAGTCGTGTAATATGAAATGTCGAATATTACATCAGTTCAATATAATAGAGCGGCTCTTCAAGCGTTGTGCACAAGCGAATATATAACGGTCGCGAAAGTGTTAATTTATATGTCTGTATAATTAGAGTAATAATATATTTGTGTAATTATACGTGAAGGATAGTATGTAGGACATATCTTTTCGGATTTGAAAAGTTTCTTTATCTAGTCTGATATTTGGAATAAATTAAATTTGTTTTTAAAATTGTAGATAAGAATGATTACCCATCGAAATATCTTATTTTTTACATTTTCAGTTATATTTTATACAATCTGAACTTATAATTATATTAATAAATTTTGATTTTAATATAAAGAATAAAAGTTTTCTATCTGTATATGTATATGTTAAATGTTAGTTTCTAAAGGACTGTCAAAGTTAATTCGATCGAACTTCAAAAAATCAATTTTGGTTTACATAAATAAAATTAGTATTTTGATTTTAGAAGATAGATAGATCGATAGACTGATAGAGCGAAAGAGGGAATAGTGGGGGCATCGAAATTGATATAGGCCTCCAAAAATAAACAGATTTCTCAGAATTGAAATGTTACGTTTTATCAAAGCTAATTTAAATAATATAAACGTAATTTGTTCAATTAATTAATTCATTCAAAACCCATAGTTTGTACATATTCCTTGCTTATTTATATATTACATCAGCTTATATCAAATTCTTTAAGTTTGAAATCTCTGTTTCTATAAATTTTTTTGATAATTATTTAATCTATATATATATATATATATATATATATATATATATAATAATAAAATTATTATTTATTATTATAA